GAAAGTTTAACATAAGAACATAAAGAAGAAATATTTCTTCTCAAGAACAGAAAAGCTATGTTTAGTCATATTGATATGGAAGCATCCTCAGGTAGTGTAGATTCAAGTTTGTTCAAATGATGACCGCTGGGATAGGGAGGAGCCACAATTTGGGGATCAAATTTTTACGAAGGAATATATGGGAATTTTTTTTAAAATCTTCTGAAGTACAACAAAGCCATTTGTTACATTGACATGGAAGCATCATCAGGTAGTTTAAAATTCAAGCCCCCCCCCCCCCACCCCCCCACCCCCGGTCTTTTCAATACTGAACTGATTTGTGCTTTTGCCTAGCCAATGTGCCCAGGTGAGCGATGTGGCCCATGGGCCTCTTGTTTTAGATTAACAAATCCATTTGACAGTAATCATTGGCTTTTATTTTCCATCATCAAGTTCACAGGAAGTCCGTGCTACATTTGTAGTAGCGTGCTTGTGCTGTCAATCAAAATAATTCGATACAGTGGAGGTGTGGAAATCCCGTTTCACCGAACATGCCGAAAGCAAAGAGTCGCTTAATATTCCAAGAAATTTTAATATTTTCCCTATCATTTCTAGATCATATTTTTGCATTCCTGCAGTAAAAAAAAAATAATTCGAATATATACTTGGAAGGGTTAAGTTTTAAATTAAATGTAAACATATTCCCTGCCAATTTAAAATACTACTGTCGGCACAAGTTTATACTAAAATACTATTGTTTAATGACTGTTTGATGTTGGTTTTAAGACTGATTTTCTTGTGTTACAATAAAAATTAAATATTAATTAAAATATACTGAAAAAACTCAGTAAGAATTTTATTTAAGGAGAAAAGGCACTCGGGGGGGGGGGGGGGGGGGGGGGGGGGGTCTTAATTATACATGTACTGAAACTGAATAGCAAAAAACATATTTCTAAACATATGTTTAGGTACGGCGAAGGAAGGAGTTTTTCTTCTCTAATAATAGACTATTTTAATTAATTCAATTTAATTTTTAATTTAATTAGCTCTAAAGATATTTAATTAACTGAATATTTGCAGTACTGTTCATAATTCTCAAACCTACATCTAGTTTAAATACATGTTACTGTAGAAATAATTTTTTTATGTATTCTTGTCCTGTAAAAAACTTGGATTAATTATTATACATCTATTAATAATTTGTCCTCTTTAAAACTACATCAAATTGATGCCGTGCGTGAAGCATTTGTACATTGCCCTTTTTATGCCCCCGTAAACGAAGTTTCGGGGGCATATAGTTTTTGTCGTGTCCGTCTGTCTGTCTGTCTGTCTGTCTGTCTCTCTGTTTGTCTGTTTGTCTGCAAAAACTTTAACCTTGCCCATAACTTTTGATTTAGTGGAGCTATGACTTTCATATTTCACATGTGTATTTCTTATGACAAGACCTTTCTTTGGGTACCACCAAATTTGACCTTTTGACCTTGACCTTGGAGTTTGACCCACTTTTACATGAAAATTTTAAAATTTTACTTTGGTTATATCTTTTGAACAGTAGACACCAGGACATTTGTACTTCACATATGTAATGTTTGTTAAATGACCTTTCACTTGATACCAACAACCTTGACCCTTTGACCTTGGAGATTTTAGTACTTATGAAAAAACTTTAACCTTGGCTATAATTTTTGAACAATAACTACTACGGCTTTCATACTTCACATATATAATTCTGATAAAAAGACCTTTTATTGGATACCAAGAACTTTGACCCTTTGACCTTGACCTTGGAGTTTGACCTACTTTAAAAATACAACATTGACCATATTTTTGAAGGGTTCGGGCTAGGGCATTCATACTTCACAAATTTAATCCCTGTGACAAGACCTTTCATTTGATATCAAGAACTTTGACCCTTTGACCTTGACCTTGGAGTTTGACTTACTTTTTACAAACTTTAACCTTGACCATAACTTTTGAACAGTAGGGGCTAGAGCTTTCATATTTCACATGTGTAATCCTTGTGACAAGACCTTTTATTGGATATCAAGAATCTTGACCCTTTGACCTTGACCTTAGAGTTTGACCTACCTTTTACAAACTTTAACCTTGGTCATAACTTTTGAAGGGTAAGGGCCAGCGCTTTCATACTTCCCATACGTAATCATTGAGACAAAGCCTTTCTTTAGAACCCAACAACCTTGACCCTTTCACCTTGAAATTTAGTTTGTCCTGTATTATAAAATGTTAACCTTGGTCATAACCATGGAACAGGAATAGCTAGCGTTTTATATTTCGCATTTCTTGTAAAAAAGGCCTTAATTCGTACCAACATATTTGATCTGCATTTGAGAAAGCTTAACCTTCGCTATGTTGCCATACGGGGGCATCAGTGTTTCACAAACACATCTTGTTTGAATTTAAAACACTTGGATTAATTATTATACATCCATTAATAATTTGTCCTCTTTAAAATAACATCAAATTGATGCCGTGCGTGAAGCATTTGTACATTGCCCTTTTTTAATTTAATATTTAGCATCGTTCTACATACATGTAGGTACTTAATGTATTAATTATTTTCCAGGGAAAATTTATGAAATAAGTAACAGCTGAGTTATAATAATAGAAATATAAATATCATAGATAATTTTTGCAATGAAATAATTATTCTTCAAACAGGATATCTAAGTTATTTAATTAAAAACATGTAAATCCTTACCATCAAAAAGATAAGTCCTTTCACTTCGGAGTTCTGAATGACAATAAAGACTGAACAATAAGTGAACAGTGAACGCAAGGTGAACGCAAAGTAAACGGAACGAAGAGCGAACGATGAACGTTTTGTGAACGGTGAGGGCAAGGTGAACGGTGAACGCAATACTGTGAACGAAGAGCGAACGGTGAACGCACGCTGAACGAACGCTGAACGAACGGTGAGCGAACGGAAAAATGGGAAAGTAGAACGTTTCAGGGACTGTAAGTAATCTCTAGTCACATCAATAAGTAATCTTTGATTTATTAAATACATAATACATATCCTTGTTTTAATTAACTAGATAAGTGTTATTCACAAAATGTTTTTGTCATGGCGAGTGAAATATTATCCAATTGTGGACTTCATTGTAGGTTGATATGTGGTTATGAGGACTCATGGCAAGTGATATTGACCAAAGACACAGAAAGTGATAGCGACCGAGCCTTCGAAGTCGCTATCATTTTTTTTGTGTCTGAGGTCAATATCAATTGCCATGAGTCCTTATAACCACATATTGACCATTCACTGAAGTCCATAATAATAATATTATATAATCACTCAAAGTGAATGCACTGACAACGTCCTAACAGAACAGACTCGGCTGCCATTGTGTCACAATTGTTAAAAACATGCTTCTAATATCATGATGTCATGTTTTACGTAACTTTGGTGCAACCAATTGGTGTGTCGTGTGATATCATTTTCCACGGATGCGCTTTCACAACAATATCACAAAAGGAGGAATATCACGTGATGTCCTTTCAGCCAATGAAAATTACGAAAATAATCTAATATAATATTTCTTAATGGTGACCAGAAATTCTGAAATGGTAACCAAATAAATTTTTAGGTCGCTGTTTAGCAATCTAAAAGTAAGTGTGACTTAGAGCACTGTAAGGTTCAAGTGATAATAAATAAGTACGAGGGTTGATCCAAAAGTAATGTCACAGTGTCCATATGTTTTATATCTGGCGTCATATGATCAAATATAATATACAAAAAGATGCACAAATATAAATCTTATTAACATTGAAATTTTGATGTAATAATGTTTATTTGAATTTATTTTATAAATGTTTAAAACATAGAGCATAGTGGGTGTTGCCGCGTCACAGCGGAACATCGCGTTTTAAAGTGTATTTTTTAGAATGAAAAAAGTAAACGCATTGAAAAGATTCTAAAAAAGCACCTAAGGCCATAATAAATAAATTGCTAGATTCTTATCCAAATTTTTGTAAAAATCGAGGCGGGCGGGCGGCTTTTATTATATATTTTTTTATTTTTTCAATTTTGCAGACTTTTTAGCTCACCTGAGCCGAAGGCTCAAGTGAGCTTTTCTGATCACATTTTGTCCGTCGTCCGTCCGTCCGTCTGTCTGTCTGTAAACTTTTCACATTTTCGACTTCTTCTCAAGAACCACTGGGCCAATTTTGACCAAACTTGGTACAAAGCATCCTTGGGTGAAGGGGAATTTAAATTGTTAAAACAAAGGGCCAAGTCTCCTCACAAGGGGAGATAATCAAGAAAAGATGAAAATAGGGTGGGGTCATTAAAAAATCTTCTTCTCCAGAACCACTGGTCCAGAAAAGCTGAAACTTATGTGGAAGCATCCTAGGGTAGTGTAGATTCTAAATTAATCAAATCATGACCCCAGGGGGAAGGGGGGGGCCACAATGGGGAATCAACGTTTTACATAGAAATATATAGGAAAAATCTTTGAAAATCTTCTTCTCCAGAACCACTGGTCCAGAAAAGCTGAAACTTATGTGGAAGCATCCTAGGGTAGTGTAGATTCTAAATTGTTCAAATCATGACCCCCGGAGGAAGGGCGGGGCCACAAAGGGGAATCAAAGTTTTACATAGAAATATATAGGAAAAATCTTTGAAAATCTTCTTCTCCAGAACCACTGGGCCAGAAAAGCTGAAACTTATGTGGAAACATCCTGATATAGTGTAGATTCTAAGTTGTTCAAATCATGACCCCCCGGGGAAGGGCGGGGCCACAAAGGGGAATCAAAGTTTTACATAGAAATATATAGGAAAAATCTTTGAAAATCTTCTTCTCCAGAACCACTGGGCCAGAAAAGCTAAAACTTATGTGGAAACATCCTGGTATAGTGTAGATTCTAAATTGTTCAAATCATGACCCCCGGGGGAAGGTCTGGGCCACAAAGGGGAATCAAAATTTTACATAGAATATACATAGGAAAAATCTTTGAAAATCTTCTTCTCCAGAACCACTGGTCCAGAAAAGCTGAAACTTATGTGGAAGCATCCTGGTATAGTGTAGATTCTAAATTGTTCAAATCATAACCCCCAGAGGAAGGGCGGGGCCACAAAGGGGAATCAAAGTTTTACATAGAAATATATAGAAAAAATCTTTGAAAATCTTCTCCAGAACCACTGGGCCAGAAAAGCTGAAACTTATGTGGAAGCATCCTGGTAAAGTGTAGATTCTAAATTGTTCAAATCATGACCCCCAGGGGAAGGGCGGGGCCACAATGGGGAATCAAAGTTTTACATAGAAATGTATAGAAAAAATCTTTGAAAATCTTCTTCTCAAGAACCACTGGTCCAGAAAAGCTGAAACTTAATATGTGCACATGGAAGGATCATGGGGTAGTTTAGATTTCAAAATGTCTAAATTATGATCAGTGGGGTAGGATGGGGATGCATTATGTATTACAAGGGGGAAATCTGTTAAAGAACAGAATGGTCAAAGCTTCTCAGGTGCGCGATGTGGCCCATGGGCCTCTTGTTATTGACCTGGTCACTCGATGTCATTTCATCTACAATACCCGAATAAAAGTCATAGTAAAGGTTCAATTATCTCTTACTTCACATCATCACCAATCCTTTTCAACCAATGATCCTTGTTTAAAATATATACCTATGTATTACAGCAATTACAATCTTTTCAGCTGTCAAATCATGTCGACTTTCGCGGGATTTAAAACGAAAGTAGAATGGTAGATGAATACCGATCCCGATCAGAATTACGACAAAGAAAAAAAGAAATTAAAAAAATCGAGGCGGGGGTATAAAATCTGGGCGGGCGGGGATGAGAATCTAGGAATATTTTTATTATGGCCTAATCTCCTAATTTTTTTAAAATACCCAGTTCTCACCATTTTCTAGTATTTAATTGAAAATTTAATGACGGCATTCTTGATAATAAACATAGTTGTTTTACTCTGTTGAATTGAACCAAGTGATCGTCGAAATGGGAAAAAATGGCTCGACAAGTTGTAATGCATATTTGCTTCAAAATATGGGAATCATCATAAGCGACAGTAACGTTTATTAATCGGACTTACAGAATAAAAAAATTTAAATAAGAGACATCTTTAAGTTAATAGATGGTTTCAGCAATTTTGGGCGGGTGATTGGTCACTGCATGATCAGCAGAGGACAAAAAGACCGAAAGATAGGAGATCGGACAGAAATGTTCAATGGTGTCTGACTTCAAAAAAGACACATGTATAGAATAACATGTATATGTGAATTTCTAAGTTTGTCTTTGCTACTGTTCAAAAAATTTTTCAGAGAGCTTAATTATGAAACGAGTGAGTTTATAATGGTACCAAGAACTCTTTAAAAATTGGAATTGGTAAAAGTGTTTGCGAATCACAAATATTTTTTGAATGAAATAAAAGGGAAATGCTTAAAAATATGACGGTGCGTATCCGTCATATGATGTTATATTTAGGTGCGGCAACTACAATGAACGCGCATTGTTTAAAATCCGATATTTTGAAAAGTATACATCATATTCCTTTGAATTTTTCAGGTCTGATTTGAAATAAAAAAAATTTTATCATGTATAATTTTCTTGCTTTATGTGATTTAAAGCAATTTTATCAAAGTTGTGACATTACTTTTGGATCAACCCTCGTCCTTCAAGTCTTGCAAAAATCTATTAAGCTGTTTTTAGCTCACCTGAGCCGAAGGCTCACATGAGCTTTTCTGATCACATTTTGTCTGTCGTCTGTCCGTCCGTCTGTCCGTCCATCTGTAAACTTTTCACATTCTCGACTTCTTCTCAAGAACCACTGGGCCAATTTTGACCAAACTTGGTACAAAGCATCCTTGGGTAAAGGAGAATTTAAATTGTTTAAATAAAGGGCCAAGTCCCCTCACAAGGGGAGATAATCAAGAAAAGACAAAAATAGGATGGGGTCATTAAAAAATCTTCTCAAGAACCACTGGGCCAATAAAGCTGAAACTTATGTGGAAGCATCCTGGGGTAGTGTAGATTCTAAATTGTTCAAATCAACACCCTCGGGGGTAGGGCAGGGTCACAATGGGGAATCAAAGTTTTACTTAGAAATATATAGAAAAAATCTTTAAAAATCTTCTTCTCCAGAACCACTGGGCCAGAAAAGCTGAAACTTTTGTGGAAGCACCCTGGGCTGGTGTAGATTCTAAATTGTTCAAATCATGACCCACGGGGGTAGGATGAGGCCAAAATGGCCGGCCAAAGTTTTACATAGAAATATATAGGAAAAATTCTTTAAAAATATTCTTCTCAAGAATGCCTAAGCCATAATTCATCATATTTATATGGAAGCATCCTCAGGTAATGTAGATTCAAGTTTATTCAAATCATGACCCCTGGGGGTAGAGCGGGGTCAAAATGGCCGACCAAAGTTTTACATAGTAATTAATAGGAAAATTCTTAAAAAATCTTCTCCTCAAGAATGCCAAAGCCATAATTCATCATATTTATATGGAAGCATCTTCAGATAATGTAGATTCAAGTTTGTTCAAATCATGACCCCAGTGGGTAGAGCGGGATCAAAATGGCTGACCTTTACATAGTAATATATATAGGAAAATTCTTTAAAAATCTTATTCTCAAGAATGCCAAAGCCATAATTCATCATATTTATATGGAAGCATCCTCAGATAATGTAGATTCAAGTTTGTTCAAATCATGACCCCAGTGGGTAGAGCAGGATCAAAATGGCTGACCTTTACATAGTAATATATATAGGAAAACCTTTAAAAATCTTATTCTCAAGAATGCCAAAGCCATAATTCATCATATTTATATGGAATTCATCCTCAGGTAGTGTAGATTAAAATCTGTTTAAATCATGACCCCAGGGGGTAGGGCGGGGCCAAAATGGCCGACCAAAGTTTTACATAGAAATATACAGGGAAATTCTTTAAAAATCTTCTCCTCAAGAATAGCAAAGCCATAATTGATCATATTCATATTGAAGCATTCTCAGGTAGTGTAGATTCAAATTTGTTCAAATAATGACCCCCAGGGGTAGGGTAGGGCCAAAATGGCCAACCAAAGTTTTACATAGAATTATATAGGAAAATTCTTTAAAAATCTTCTTCTCAAGAATAGTAAAGCCATGATTGGTCATGGGACTATACTTTTGGAATTAAACTTTTCAATAATAAACTGATTTCTACTTTTTCCTAGCCACAGTGCTCAGGTGAGCGATGTGGCCCATGGGCCTCTTGTATTGGGAAAGGGCTTCTATGTTCTAAGTTGTAAGTTTGTTGTCACACATGCGCAGAAGGATTAGTCCATGCCAGGCATGGACTAACCCTTTTGCGCATGTGTCAATTTTTGGCTTTCTGTATATTCCGTATATTTTTGCAGTCAAATGGCATCCCAATGTAATTATTGAAGTATTTGACTCTATACTCAGCTATAATCACATCATCATTGCTAAAATTCCCCAAAGAGTTGATAAAATCCGTTTATCACTGGCAATGCGTAGCCTTGACTGATGAATTTATTTTTGTAATCATTTTGGAATTATTTTACTGAACTTATGAAATAATAACATCTCATTTCCTCATGCACTTTCTAACACAATCACAAATAGGTCGGCCGCTGCTGGGGCGGATAAAGCAAGTTTTCAAAATATTTTACTCATGAATTTATTTTTGTAATCATTTGAGAATTATTTTACTGAACTAATGAAATAATAACATCTCATTTCCTGTGCATTTTCTAACACAATCACAAATAGATCGGCCGCTGCTGCGGCGGATAAAGCAAGTTTTCAAAATATTTTACTCATGAATTTATTAGCTCACCTCAATGAAGTTGGGGAGCTTATGTAATACCCTCGGCGTCGGCGTCCCAGGTTAAGGTTAAGTTTTTTGGAGCAGTTTTCTTTTTAAGTACTTCTATGTCCTATATTGATTAGACATGCATGGAAGATGGTTCTAGTGTGTTTCATTGTACCAGTCAAAGTTTCAGATGCTGCAATTTCAGCAAAGGAATGACCAGGTTAATGTTTTTGGAGCAGGTTAACATTTTTGGTGCAGTTTTTGGTGTAGGTTTCATTTCCAAGTAACTATAAGCCCTATGTTGACCAAACTTGCATGGATGATACATCTAAGGATGCATACTACCAGGCTTGCTTCGGATGCTGAATCTGACCTAATTTTACGGTTGAGTGATCAGGTTAAAGTTTTTGGTGCAGGTTTCATTTCGAAGTAACTATAAGCCCTATGTTGACCAAACTTGCATGGATGATATATCTAAGGATGCATACTACCAGACTTGCTTCAGATGCTGAATCTGACTTACATTTTCTGGTTGAGTGAACAAGTTAAAGTTTTTGGTGCAGGTTTCATTTCCAAGTAACTATAAGCTCTATGTTGACTAAACTTGCATGGATGATACATCTAAAGATGCACACTACAGAGCTTGCTTAGGATGCTGAATCTGACCTACATTTTCTGGTTGAGTGAACAGGTTAAAGTTTTTGGTGCAGGTTTCATTTCCAAGTAACTAATAGCCCTATGTTGACCAAACTAGCATGGATTATACATATAACGATGTATACTACCAGGCTTGCTTCGGATGCTGTATCTGACCTACATTTTCCAGTTGAGTGAATAGGTTAAAGTTTTTGGTGCATGATTCATTTCCAAGTAACTATGAGTTCTTTAATGACCAAACTTGCATGGATGATACATCTTAGGATGCATACTACCGGGCTTGCTTCAGATGCTGAATCTGACCTACTTTTTGTTGATGAATGAAAATGTTAGTTTTTGATGCATGTTTAATTTCCAATTAACTATGAGCATGATAATGAGCAAACTTGCATGGATGATACATCTTAGGATGCACACTAATGGAATTGCTTCGGATGCTGAATTCCACATACATTTCCAGATAATAGACCAGGTAAAAGTTATGGGTGCAGGTCTATTACCAAAAAACTATAAGGCTTATATAACATTGTATAAACCAAACTTGCACAAATGTTGCATCAAGAGATGAAAACTCTCAAATTTTGCTTCAGATGCTGGATTTTAATTACATTTTCATGAAGAAGAACTAGTTTAAATTTTTTATGTAGGTCTATTTGAAAATCAGATTAAAATTGCTTAAATATTTTCATTTTTGGAATGTACACTTTTTTGTTGGTTAATTGTGTGACTTTGCCTTACCTAAAGACAACATTCGTTGAGGTGAGCTCTGTAATCTCTGATTACCTATGTTTTTTGTAATCATTTCAGAATTATTTTACTGAAGTAATAAAATAATAAAATCTCATTTCCCCATGTGCACTTTCTAACACAACCACAAATAGATCGGCTGCTGCTGCAGCTGATAATGAATTCTTCCAGATTTGCTTCAGATGTTGGAACTGATAGACATTTTCTTGATTTATGAACTCGTAAAAATTTTTGTAGCATGTCCATTCCAAAAAAAACTATAAGTCTTACTTAAACCAAAATAATGGTTAGGCCATAATGAAAAAATTCCTAGATTCTCATACAAATTTTTTGAAAAATCGAGGCGGGGGTCGGCTTTTATTTTATAAATTTTGAGAATTATTTTACTGAAGTAAATCGGTGGAGATTTATCTATAATACCCAAATAAATGTCCATTTTTCTCTTACTTCACATCACCAATCTTTCACAACCAATGACCCTTGTTTAATATAATATACAGCAATTACCATCTGTTCAGCTGCCAAAATAGTCGCCAGCGTGGCGCAGTGGTTGAGAGTGTCTGCCTTAGAGTCCCAAAGTAAGGAGTCAATCCTTACGTCGTGGGTTCAAATCCCACTGTGGGACGTGGAGACCGGTCCTTCAGATGAGACTGTATAAACGGAGGTCCCGTGTCACAGTAGGTGCTGGCATGAAAAAGATCCCTCCCTGCCCTGAGTGCCAAGTATAGGAAAAAATTTCAAGCTTTGGCAAGCGGTGGCGTCACAATATGAGTGAAAAATTCTCAAGAGGGACAACAATAATACAAACATTAATCAATTATGCCGATATTCGCGGGATTTTAAGTACAGGTCCATCTTATAATCAGGCTATCAGTGATAAGTCAAATATTTCATATCTGGTCCATATTTTTTCATATTATAACTTGATACAGTAGTAATTAAAATTAATAATTTTTTTTTCAAAAGGCACATCCAGGCTGTGATATGTTACTATAAATAGATTTAGGAATTTATGGGCCAAAATGTCAACCAAAAAAAAAGAAGTTCAGTACAGAAGTAACAAGTCTTTTCGTTTTAAGCTCTTCTGAGCCAAAGGCTCAAAGAGCTACCCCTGCGAGAGTATCAAGAATAATTCTTGAACTTTTAAGAAAAGTTCATGAAATATATTCTTGAATCTGCTCATGAAATATTCATGAAGATCCTATGAAGTTAAAATTGGACACTCATGATTTCATGAATTTTATTCATGAAAACCAAGTTCAAGAATATTCAAGAATAGTGGGTTGTTCATGAATTACTTACTACTCTTGAAAATTCATGAACTTCCTTATAGAATTCATGAAATCATAGTGTCCTGTGAATTTTAGCTTCGTTAGATCTTTCATGAACATTTCAGGAACTTTTTAAGAATATTATTCTTGAATTACGTAATTTGACAGAAGGCCAAATTGGCAAAACCACTGTGAGTACCCTCAAAATACATGTACATAAACATTCTATTTAAAAATTTGATAATATATAAATAATGACTACAATATTTTAAACTAAATGCTATGTATTAAATTCATTGAATTTATAAATGTATACAGCTTTTAGCCAACACACTCTTAAACAATTACATGTACAGCCTGGATCAGTTTCAGAATCTTAAACAACGCTTGTGTTCTTCTTATGGCACGTTCAAGTAAGTCAGATGCCTGTGGTGCATTTGTTATCCCTGTCAACTTTGCTTCTTGACATTCCAAAAATGAATTTTTCTCTATGGGTGTCTGCTGGATCACTCACTAATTCATCCAAAATTGAAATCCATCCTTTAAATCATGACATGGTTTTTTTTTAGCTCTTTTACAATAGGCCTTTCTTTCATTTCACTCTCCCTGAAATTACATATACATGTATATAAATGATATGCCAAATAGAAATATATATTACAGGGAACAGGATACTTTTAAATAATATGGGAATTGTGGACTGGTGATGCTGCAACTGGAGGCCAGAAAAAAATACAGGAATTACCTGTCTTTTATACAGAAAACTTGGTCTTTAATTTATAAAGAGTCAGGAATCCTCAGAGACGAGTCAAAGTCAATTCGTTCTAATCAGTAAAGAAAATTTAAAAATGATTTTAGTTTCAATTTAGAATCAAGTTTCCTTTTTTTCTTCAATTTGAGCTAGTCCGTGGGCACACGGGTATGCCCCCCCCCCCTTTCCATTTTTATGACGTCGAGCTCTTGGAGCTCGAACGTCATCTAGCGATCGGCCAAGTGAAACCGCCAAGGGATGTACGCGACCGAATGTGTCAGTGGATGCATCCGCAATAGAAAATAGCAATAGCTATAAACCAATTTCTTTTAAAACGCTCACAATGAATAATTATAGCTTGAAAATAAAATTGCATCATTTGTATCTATAATTAATTATGTTCCCCAAACGAAGTTTGGGAACATATTGTTTTTACTCTGTTTCTTATTATTATTATTATTATTAAGGTCTTCCGTCTTCACGGAAGACCTTATAGTGATTCTACTGTTTCTTATTATTATTATTATTATTATTATTATTCTTATTTTTTTTCCCTAAATTTTGTGCACGCGATTTCTCAGCAACCATTCAGTGGTTTTCTATGAAATTTTCAGGAATAATGCGCATTTATAGGAACTTGATACATCTTGGAGGAATTTTGAAAATTCGCTTCCGGTGCCAAGTTATGGACAATTTCCTGATTTTAAAATGAAATTTTGTCGCCCCTTTTCTGCAAAAATGGTAAAAGATATGAACTGGAGACTTGTTAGAGAGTATAGGGCATGACTTATAGGTGAACAGAATCACCTTTTCGTTCGTCGTCGGCACTTCAGGTCGCTTACGAAAGTGATCAAAGAAATCGTAAAATTTCAACTTTCCTTTCTCAAATCAAATTCTACACAACATTATTGCATCTATTTTGGAGCTTCGAAATATGTTGGTCCCACCGGAAACAAAAACGACAACTTCCGGTTATAAGAGAAAAACGACATAATTTGAGTATTTTTCTTTCCCATTAATATCTTTTGTAGATAAAGTATTTGAAATGAATTTTAAATATGTTATTTTGACTGCAAATATCTAGTGGAACGTCAGATATCTTTGTAAAATTCACTTCCGGTCGCGTGTTTTTTTTGTCCTCAAAATGAGAAATTGTCTAAGCAAGATCTCGAAAACAATGAGATATTAAGACACCAAATTTATATGAGCAACAGACCTTAAGATGTAGGCAAAATTATTTGAGTTCAGATCGTCAGCCGTCACTTCCGGTCGTCACAGGAAGTGATCGAAGAAATCGAAAATTTCAACTTTTCTTTTTTTAATTAAAAATTGCTTCACTTTATTGCATCTTCTTCGCAGATTCGAAAGATGTTCCTCCCACCGGAAACATAAAAGAGAATTTCCGGTTATAAGAGAAAAAACTACTGTACATAATTTGAGTATTTTACTTTCCCATAAATATTCTTTATAGAAAGTTTTTGAAATGAATTTTAAATATGTTATTCAGAGTGGAAATATCTAGAGTAACCTCAGATATATTTAAAAAATTCACTTCCGGTCGCGTGTTTACCTGTCCTTAAAATCAGAAGATTTCTGAGAAAGATCTCAAAAACAGGTTAAAGATTAAAACATTAAACTTGTATGAGTAATGGACATTGAGGAGTAGGTGAAACCATTTGGGTTAAACATGTCAGTCGTCACTTCCGCTTGTCACAGGAAATGATCAAAAAATAAAAAAAAAATAACTTTTCTTTTTTAAAATAAAACTTGCAACTCTTTATTGCATCTCTTTCGTGTTTTGAAATATGTTAGATTCCACCGGAAACAAAAACGTCAACTTCCGGTTTTAGGAGATAAGCTACGTTATTTTTATTTATAACATTCTCATAAATATTGCTTATCGATAAAGTACTCGAAATAATTTTTTGTATGTTGAAGATACTACAAATGTCTAGAGAAAAGTCAGAGATTTTTATAAAATTCACTTCCGGTCACGTGTTTACCTGTCCTCAGAATTATAATTTGTTCTCACAATATTGCTCGGCAACGGTAAACGACTGAAGTCTAAAACTTTTAGGACTGATATTTAGTCATCAGTTTATATCAACTGTGAGAAAATCTTGTATCGCCGTTACTTCCGGTCATAACAGGAAGTGATGCAAAAAAAGTGAATGGTTAATAATTAGCACATTGGATTTTCACACTGACGACCAGGGTTAAATCTCCAGAGTGTCTGAATTTCTTTTATCACTTTTTGAGCCTGAGTTTTCGTTTTTATTTTCAGAATCGGACGGAAGACCTCTCATTGCTCGCAATGAGTTTCTAGTTATTATTATTATTCTTTTTTTCTACTTTCTTCTCCGGTACTTTTTTGTCCGCGAGTGTTCTCATAGAACCACTCATCCGATTGACATGAAACCTTTTTAGGGTTAATAGGCATGTTGTGTAGGTGTTCGGAACGAAGGTCATTTTGCGCGCACATGCATGCACGTGCGCGCGCGTGCAATGAGTGAAATGACTGATATACTTGATGAAGCCGTAACTTTGATATTTCTTGATGAATTGCTTTGAAACTCAAAATATAAAGATACATTAGTAGTCTAGACAAGATAACATGGTCAAATTAGCGTGAACTCACGCGCATGCACGTGCGCTCTTCTCTGATTGGCTGATACAAAAATCTCAATAATTTCCTTGTTTTTTGACAAAATACTTTGAAATTTAGAATATAAGTATATATTATAAGGTGCTACAACATGTTATATAGGAATTTTCTTGAAAACACGTGCATGCAGGTGTGCTGCAATCTGATTGGTTGAAACTTTAAATGTCTATAACTCCCTTGGTTTTCAACAAAACAGGATGAAATTTATGACATGGATAGGCACATAGAGCTCCTACATTATAATACTATCAAAATTGAATGCAAGGACCTGCATGTGCGTATGCTGAATTCTGATTGGCTAATACTTAAAGGGTTACATCTCTCTTATTTTTCAATGAAATTCTTTAATATTTAACACA